TCAAACCCATGAAAAGTAAAACTGAAGATGGATATATTGAAAACCCCTTTGATGATGTTGGATCTGCTACTAAAATGGTATAGGGTGGCTGGAGGTTTTAGGTGGTGTATATTTTATTAGGATACTAGTCAAACAACAGGGGATAATGTGTGAGATTAGATATCTCCACCAGTCTACCATAGCTTCCCTGACGATATTCTTGGAGGTAGTCTATCTAACTCCGTGGAGGAAGAAGCAGTTCTTTTTTTTGAGTTTAATCAGCTCCTGAAGTAGCTCAAGAAGTAACTTTTATGACCCATGGTTTTTTGAACATAAAATATGGTGATGCAATAGTTGTGATTTCCTTATGTTTGAACATTTGATTCTATTCTACTTAAATATCATTTAACAACATTTGATCGAGCAAATCTGTCAAGCATTGATGTTGATGAATCTGGGGAACAAAGCTGGAAAGAAATTCCAGTTCTTCAAATATTCCTATTACCTACTATATATGGTCTGGAAGATTTCTATTTAACAATAGAAGCTCGAGATTGAGTTTTCTTTTCAATTGGAGGATAACTAATGTAAGGCCGGTTCAATGATACTTATACACCAATTCTTGACTTTACACTCCTTTTGAGAAATGTTGGGGTTATTTTAGGTAATTGGAAGTTACCTACACTATATAGTCAAATTAGGTGTTCCGATGGGCTATAATAGCTGCACAATAGCCTAATATATTTTTATCTACATATCATATGCATGCAAAGAATAATAAAAAAAGTTTAAGTGTAGAAGACATTTGTTATGGGCTGTATTAAATTATGCATGTATTAATTATCAAATGTTGATACATGTGGGAAACAATAATGCAAGAATATGTTAGGAAAAAAGTTGTTTTATATACTTGTTATATAATTATTATATGAAATAACTATTTTTAAAACTTGGGCTAGTGGCCCAGTTTGTGAAGGGCTGAGTGGGTCTGGGTGAGCTAATTGTCGGTGTGCATCTGAATTGAATTGGTTTAAGTCCGGTGTTAGCCAAATTAGGTGTCACAATGGGCTATAATAGCTGCACCATAGCCTTATATATTTTTATTTACATATCATATGCATGCAGAAAATGATAAAAAAAAGTTGAAGTGTAGCAGACATTTATTATGAGCTGTATTAAATTATGTATGTATTAATTATGAAATATTGATACATACAAGAAACAATAATGCAAGAATATGGTAGGAAAAAGTTATATTTTATATATGTTTTCTTTTTATATAATTATGGATAAATGTTTAGCACAATAAATATGGTAGGAAAAAGTAGTGATATATTTTATATTTAGTACAATAAAAAAAATACAGTCTTAGTACAAAAATACAGTCTCAGTTATGAATTCCATTCCTAGGATATCCTTGTTTTTTTTGTTATCTCCAAAATTTCAACCTATTGTATTCTAGGGCAACTGTTCTGGATCAAGTTTGGGTACCACTGAGAAGTACATCAAACATGATAGGCAATTACAGTTCTATAATGACATCAGTGAACAATGGTACAGTACCTTCAATTTTGCATCTAGTTGAAGAGGAATCAATTTCTGCACCGAGTGGGACACACTGTAAATATTAATCTTGGTGCATAACTATTCTTCCCATTGTACTCTGTCTCCCAAGAAAATAAAGAAGCTATAGAAAGATGCAAAATATAATATTTGGTTAAATTGTAATTAAGTTCCTGTCATCATTTATCTTGCATGGAAGTAAACATTTCATTAGTGGAATCTTTTTGGGAGGGCGATAGTAGGGTCGAATTTTCCAAACCTATGGTTGGAGTTCTTATTGCTTGACTTATGACTTACATTTCGTGTATAATCTGAATCCCGACTTTTATTTGCTGATAAACAGCATCTAAGTGCGACATAACACCTATTTGTATTTCCTGTTTTGGTTTCAATACTGAGTTGACTAAATCTGCCAGGCTTCACTTTTTTTCTTATTTTCTAATGCAGATTAGCTTAGTTGGACAGCTTCAGCTTCTTTCCTCAACAGTGACTATGCTGGCAGTACCTACGCCTTCTCTTACAGCCACCCTGGCCCGTTAGTTTATCTTCCCACCAGTTTGTAAATTTGTTTGAAACTTTAAATATAGTGGTTATTATACATACATGTTTCCTGTGTTGATTAATAAAATAACGTTATGTGAAGGTGGAGGAAATAATCCAGCAGCAGCTGTTCCCCTGGTTGCTTTGGGAACCCAGAGTGGGACAATAGATGTTGTTGATGTTTCAGCCAATGCTGTTGCTTCAAGTTTATCTGTTCATAATGGTACTGTTAGGGGACTACGATGGTTGGGAAATTCCAGGCTGGTTTCATTTTCTTATACTCTGGTATAAATTCAGTACTTATGTCTGAACAGATTTTTCTTTATGTTAATTGCTGCATAGTTTCATTCTTTCTATTGTGGTTATTTATTTTTTTAATTATTTTTAGATCTTATCTCCCTGTGAGATAAGCTTAATGATTTGATCTTACTGCTTAATGCCTCCTTCAATTTAGAATTTCATAGAGGTTTTTTTGGTTGTTGACCAATTGTTATGCACATTCTTTTGGACTCAGGCTAATGAAAAATCTGGAGGATATATTAACAAGGTAGTTGTTACCTGCCTTCGAAGCGGCCTTAACAGGATGGTCCGAGTTATGCAAAAGCCAGAACGCACACCTATTAGAGCTTTGAGAACATCTTCATCTGGAAGGTGAAATCTCGAAGCTAAAATTTTGTTATTATTTACTTTGCTTTCTTTGCTGTTTAGTTTCTGAATCATCTTTTGCTTGCAAGCTTTTCTGTCCTATTTTATATCTTGTAATAATAATGTTGACAACTTTCTACTAGGAATATAGAATTTAGTAATTTTATAAACGATAGAGTTTGTATGGAACCATACTTTGTTGAGGCATAATATATGCTTCGTTTGTGTATCTCAGCTTTGAGATCTTAGTATATGTTACACCTCCCTGGCTGACTGCAAAATGGTGTCCTACAGAATGCTTTAATCCTTGCTGTTGATGGGGCTGTTGGGACTGGCTCAAAATTTATCTTTTGTTGCTCAAATGCTGATATCTTTGTTGGTGTTAGTGAACAGTTTTGGTGTTTAAATTTTTTTAAGAAAAGGTTTGCTTCATTTATGTCCTTTTTTGTTTTTCACATCCAGCATTTTGATTGATTGTAACTGGTTTGTGAAGATTTTCTATCCATCAAATATTCTAAAATTTCTGTTTGATAGCAAAAGAAACAAGTTCCCCCCACGCTCTCTCTTTTTGAAGGGGGGATCTATGCCAGAAGTATTAATTCAATTTTATCGAACTCTTGTACTAAATGTTTATATTTGCTTTCCATCCTGGATCTGTTATCTTTTTCCACCTTGTATTAATATATAGATTTGTGATTACATCATGGCTTTCAATAGTTGGATATCCTTATTATTTCAGGTATCTTCTAATTTTGTTTCGTGATGCACCTGTGGAAGTTTGGGCAATGACTAAAAATCCTCTCATGGTAAGTTGGTTTATGTACTTGAAGTCCCTGTGCTTTTGCTCTCTTCTAACCTGCTTTTTCCACCATTATCTCCCCTTCTTTTTCCAAGTTTTCCTTGACTGTTGTTCTATGGCACCTTTTTTCCTGTCTTTTACTGGAAATGTCTTTTTCCCCTTGATATATAAAGGAAAAATTTATTAAGAAGGAAGGGAGAGATAACAAAAGCTAGAGGTAAGAAATTATGATAATTATGCCAAGAAAGAGGATGGCTAAATCACAAAACATGTAAAACAGCTCATCAATCTCACTAAATATCTACAAAAGACCCATTCCCTAGAAAGACCATTAGCAAACACCAAGAAGCTAAGTAACACTCTAATGAACTTGATTGGAAACAATCGCCAAATATAAAATCTAGCATTTCTTTCCAACCAGATACACCAAAAATCTGCAAATTGAAAACTTTGCCAACTCCCTTTATCATCTGTATTACTTCCAAAGCCTCTTAAAATTAACTCAATGGAACTTCTGAAGATCCTTGGTGCAAACCTATTCACTGCTAAAAAACAAACAATTTATTCCATAGAATGGAAAAACTACTGAGCAACGCAAAATCAAATGAGTTATTTTCAGAATTTGACTGCATATAACACAATAATTAGGATTCCTGAATTTGAAGTAAGACATTGGTAATATTCCTGGAGATCTACATACCTTCTTGCAGATCTACATTTTCCTCCTAATATTCCTGTTATGAATGCACGCAGAACTTGGTTTTCATGAATTAATTTCCTGTTTCCTTTNGTGATTACATCATGGCTTTCAATAGTTGGATATCCTTATTATTTCAGGTATCTTCTAATTTTGTTTCGTGATGCACCTGTGGAAGTTTGGGCAATGACTAAAAATCCTCTCATGGTAAGTTGGTTTATGTACTTGAAGTCCCTGTGCTTTTGCTCTCTTCTAACCTGCTTTTTCCACCATTATCTCCCCTTCTTTTTCCAAGTTTTCCTTGACTGTTGTTCTATGGCACCTTTTTTCCTGTCTTTTACTGGAAATGTCTTTTTCCCCTTGATATATAAAGGAAAAATTTATTAAGAAGGAAGGGAGAGATAACAAAAGCTAGAGGTAAGAAATTATGATAATTATGCCAAGAAAGAGGATGGCTAAATCACAAAACATGTAAAACAGCTCATCAATCTCACTAAATATCTACAAAAGACCCATTCCCTAGAAAGACCATTAGCAAACACCAAGAAGCTAAGTAACACTCTAATGAACTTGATTGGAAACAATCGCCAAATATAAAATCTAGCATTTCTTTCCAACCAGATACACCAAAAATCTGCAAATTGAAAACTTTGCCAACTCCCTTTATCATCTGTATTACTTCCAAAGCCTCTTAAAATTAACTCAATGGAACTTCTGAAGATCCTTGGTGCAAACCTATTCACTGCTAAAAAACAAACAATTTATTCCATAGAATGGAAAAACTACTGAGCAACGCAAAAACAAATGAGTTATTTTCAGAATTTGACTGCATATAACACAATAATTAGGATTCCTGAATTTGAAGTAAGACATTGGTAATATTCCTGGAGATCTACATACCTTCTTGCAGATCTACATTTTCCTCCTAATATTCCTGTTATGAATGCACGCAGAACTTGGTTTTCATGAATTAATTTCCTGTTTCCTTTATTTCAAAGCCCTGCTTTTGGAGTGTTTTCCTTTTAAATTAGGAAGGTTAATTTGGACTCTTCCAAATTCTACATTTTCCTTTGTTCTTTATCTGTAGAATAGTTATATTCGTTGACACTACATTTTCTCTATCTAGATATTTATAATGCTTGCTCTATCTATGTAGCTTAGATCATTAGCTCTTCCATTTACTGTACTGGAATGGACTCTTCCAACAGTTTCACGTCCTTCTAAAGATCAAACATCTGGAACATCAGATGAAGCATCTAACCTCTCCAAAACTTCCTCTTCTGATTCCCGTAAGTTGTTTGCTTGAAGTTCCTAGATATTTATCAGCATAGCTGCTAATATAGAATTAATGATTCCTTTCTTTTTTGTCCATGCATGATTAAAGTAGCTTATGACTTATGAGTGATGTTGATTTCGTTCAGCAGAGGGTTCAAGTACTGAGGAATCTCAGGATGACGTGTCTGAAAGTTTTGCATTTGCTTTGGTGAATGGGGCACTTGGAGTTTTTGAAGTGCAAGGTCGAAGAATTCGTGATTTCAGGTGTGAACTTGTTCAATACCGAAAATAAGTTTATTACTGCAGTGGTGTTGCTTTAAATGATATATGGGGCCGTTTATATGCATTGTTCATTATTTAATCATTGTCAAAGCACAGATAACTTTCCTTGTTTTGTCATTCTTTTTGGCAGGTCTTACTTATTAGTAGTTGATCTCTTTTATAATCTATTAATTTTTAGTGCTTTTTCTTTACTTCAGAATAGTAGTCATTAGTGTGCTATAGTGGGGTAGCGATGTCAAGGGGGGCTAGGCTGCTACATGATTCAAAGATCAAAGCGATTTTCAATAGCAGCCCTTGTGGAGGCAAAAGTTGTTTTTTGCACACTAGTGCTGCCATTTATATAAAAGTTTTGAAAACCCATTTTTAGCCATTAAACAATGTCAATAAGGTTTTTGGGGGTAGTCTATTGCTTTCTTGCGGTAAAAACTTTGTAGAATTTGAAACCCTTCTTCCTTGGCCATTCTTACAACTAGTTACCTCTATTTTGACGACCCTTTTTCCTTTACACTTCACAGACCTATTTTTTTACTGTGTTCAGCTCTTTCTTCTTTTCCAACTCATTTTTATAATTTTATCAATTTTCTTGTGTTCCTTTTCTATTAGTTAAACATAGTTTATCAGTTCTTTAAGTTTATTACTTTGTTCTTAGCTTGATGGTCATTGAGAGTGTAAATTGTGACGTGACTTATTATTTATCATAAATTTCTTTAATTTAGGGTTTTTCTTTTTGACTGTTTGTATTATAAGTATAAATTGTTGTATTATAAGTTAATAGTAAAATAGTGACAACCTGGTTTTGCTATCCCCGCCATAGTGTTTTAAGAGCTGGCCGGTATGCCTGTTTCTGGGATTGATAGATATGCAATCCGTCCTTTATGCTCGCGTTCTCTGATTAAGTAACATTTTCCACAGACCAAAATGGCCTTCTTCTTCATTTGTATCATCGGAGGGATTGATAACAGCAATGGCCTACCGTTCGCCTCATGTGGTATGCATCATTACTTCAGAATTCATTCTCTATATCTCTATTTAATTCAGTTTTGATATAAATTGAATGATGATTTTAACCAATTTAGTTTTACAGGTCATGGGAGACAGAACAGGGAGCATAAGATGGTGGGATGTGGTGACTGGACATTCTTCTGCGTTCAACACTCACAGAGAAGGAATCCGGCGAATCAGATTTTCACCTTTTGTTCCAGGGGACCACAGTCGGGGGCGAATTGCTGTTCTTTTTTATGATAATACTTTTTCTGTATTTGATTTGGTAAGATGGGAGTTCACATTTTTATTTCTGTTTTTATGGATCATTGGTGCAATTTAATTTTTCTTTCATGTTATATTTGGCATATATATTTGTACAGCTTATGCTTATGATTATTTAAATAGCTTTGGTTAACTTTTATGTAACATTGGTTTTTACGGGGGATCTAATACTGATAAACTTAATATTATTATGTGGCTTAAATATGTTTTTAGTTTCTAATAAATTACTGAATTCTTTTGTTGGTCCCAAAAATGTTATCTAAGTCACTTTATTTCATTATTTAAAGCGCTATTTAATATGCTTTAGGTAGAAAAAACAAAGTAAAAATTTTAAGGACTCAAGCAAAATCTAATAATTTATTAGGGCCAAAAAGCTTGCTGGTTTTCATTTTTCATCAATCTTATCTGGGGCAGAAAAAATAAAGGTTGGAAAAAAAAATTCCCTTTTTGGAATGCTGGAAACATATATTGTAATTGTTTGATCATAAATCTCAACATGTTTTTTTGCAGGATTCGCCAGACCCCTTGGCCAATTCACTTTTGCAACCCCAATTTCCTGGAACCCTTGTATTGGAACTAGATTGGTTGCCCTTGCGAACGGATAAGAATGATCCACTGGTATTGTGCATTGCTGGAGCAGATGGTAGCTTTCGTCTTGTTGAAATTAATGCGTAAGTGTCACAAATCACTCTCGGATAAGAAAATGAATTTCTTTGTATTATTGTTATTATTGCTATTATTTTTTTTATTATTACTATCATCAATGTAAACATAAGATTGGTGGTTGTCATGGTGTTCTAGTGACCTGTACTAACTTTTAGCAATTATGAAATCGTTCATCTTGACGTTTATAAATGTCTTGATCAAAAACTATGTTTAGATAAATGATGTGATGCCACCTACTTGTTGTATTTAAATTTGTCTGTATTCAATCTATCCATTTATGTTTTTGACTATGTAGGGAGACATATCTTGTAATTGCACGACAGGTGAGGGAGAGAAGTTAATCTAAGTCATATAATCACCCATGGATGGATAATTTTCAGTTAATCTAATCTTATCCTCCATTTTAAATATATAGCCTGGTATCCGTCCTCTGTGCATGCAATGTTTAAAATATTTGTGTTCACATGCAGTGCAACAGTGAGGGACATTTAGTTCATTATATTTCTAACCTTTTGGAGTTTTAGTATTCTTTTCAAGGTGAATGAATCACAGTATTTGTCATCATCCAGATGAGAGCTAATAATAGTTGTCCCAATTTCAGTGGTTTTAAAAATGGACTGACTGTGAATTACACGTCTTTTCCTGCAGAAATGATAAACGATCTGGTTATGCAGTCCACATCAGAAATACAAAGGAGAGATTCCGGTCAATGCCTATATGTTGTCCCATACTACTTCCTTCACCACATGCCCTGGTAGTGTACCGTAACTAAATTTACTAATTCTACAGAATGGACTAAAATATATTTTCTTTGCTACGAAAGTTCTATACCCAATACCCACAGTGAATGTCTGCATTTTATAGACAAAACACATTGTGAAGACTAGATTTCATGTGCAATGATGGATATGAGAAGTAGCATGAAAATATTAAAGAATGAAATGAAAATGATTTCCTAGAAATTTTTTTGAATTTCTCATCTCATGGAAATATGATATCTGTTTTCATTTAACATCAACGAATTTTCTTACTGGAAAAAAAATTTAAATTGCATATTCCACTTTCCTTGAACTTAAGTTAACCATAGCCCACGTTTAATCTGTCTGTATAATTTACTCAAATGGGTTTTCTTTTACTCTTCTTGCAATACTTATACAAATTTTACTAGTTTTGTACAAATTAGGATTGCATTGGTCATCAGCTCTTTGTGATTTATTTATAGTACTACATTTTAATATGTATTAATGTTGCTACAGGCGTTGCGCATGATCTTACAATTGGGTGTTAAACCTTCTTGGTTTAATACTTGTAGTACGACCATAGAAAAGAGGCCTCACTCACTTCCAGGAACTCCTACATCTACAGGGGATCTTCGCACATACATGATCAACATTCCACCTCTTGGCGACTCGGTGGTGCCAGAGATGCTTTTGAAAGTAATGGAACCATATAGAAAAGAAGGTATATATCTCTGTGGAGTTTAATAATGAAAACTATTCTGTTTGCCATTTTTATACTTTTTGTGTTTTAAAAAGTTACCAATATGTCCATTTCTGAAGGTTGCATTCTTGACGATGAGAGAGCAAAGTTCTATGCAAGTATTGTGGATAAAGGTTGTGCTGCAAGGTTTGCTTTCGCAGCTACTATATTTGGTGAATCCTCAGAAGCTCTGTTTTGGCTACAGTTGCCTCGTGCACTTAAACATTTCATGAACAAGTTATTGAGAAAGCATCCACCAAAAAATTCGACAGCGGCACCTATCTCTGATGTTGGTAATGAGACATCTCTACTATCTCGGATATCATCAAAAGGAAAACAGACAGAAGAAACAGGCAGAAATGTATTGGTATGATGTCTTACAGTTTCCTTTAAGTTTCTATCCTGTGATATATCTTGTAATGCCGCACGTTCCAATTGTTGAAAGTTGCTGTTAAAGTTGAGTGCCAGATTCTTTACCTGACTTTAGCTTTCTGGTTTGCAGAGTCGAGGACAACTACGGTTAATGGCTTTTGACAGAGAAGAGCTGTGGAAAACTGCTAGTGATCGAATTTCTTGGCATGAAAAATTAGAAGGTGAAGAGGCTATTCAGAAACGTATTCATGAGTGAGTAAATTCATCATTTCTTTTTATTGATTTCTTGAGAGTGTCAACATATGTCTTAGTGTGACATTATGTTAGAAGGTATTTTAGTTGTAGTCCAAATCCTTTGGTTTTTTAGGACTGCATAATTTGAAATTACAATATCCAGATATTGAATTTGTGGTCCTTCATTCCACAAATTGGTGTCTTGTTAACAGAAAAGGTACTGCTGTGATAGAAACCACTGAAGTTTCTTTTCTTTTACTATTTTCATGAGATTATACTCTAATTATAATACTTACTTTTTGGTGCTACCAGGCTTGTGTCTGTTGGAAACCTAGAAGCCGCAGTTAGTTTGTCACTTTCTACACCTCCAGAGAGCTCTTACTTCTATGTCAACGCTCTTCGAGCCGTTGCTCTCTCTTCTGCTGTCTCAAGGTCTCTTCATGAACTTGCAGTGAAGGTGAGTATAACTGTGGCATGCATGTGTTTAGACATCAAAATACAAATTCTGATTAGTATCCAAGAAAATATTTGATATATTCAGTGTATCATAACATCTGATGTATTTTTTAGGTTGTTGCAGCCAACATGGTGAGGGCTGACAGGTCACTCTCTGGCACGCATCTTCTATGCGCTGTTGGAAGATATCAAGAAGCATGTTCTCAGGTCAGGCTGCATTGATAATATTTTTTGTTTACTTTCCCTGTTTTTTTAAATTCACCATCAAAGGGATACACATAATTTAAAAGGTCTCGAAGCTGGTTTCAGTTTGGAAATTTTACCAACTTGTAAACAACAGCCTGGTTGCTTGATGGTGTTACTTTTTGGTGATTTTCAAGGGAAATTTTAGTCATGAAAAAATAATTTTCTCCATTTAGATAATAACCAGATTCATGATAAATAATTGTATCTATCATTAAAAAAAATTATGGGAAAGAGCGGCTGCTGAATTTTAGTGTTAAGAAGTGAAACATCTTATTGTAAGGTTGTTCCTTTTCTGTGTGTACTATATGCTCTACTCAGTAGCACATCTGTCTGAATTCAGTGTAAAATAGTCAAAACAACAAATGGTTAAACTGTTAACATTTGAATGTAACAGACTTCCTTGCATTGCATTCTCTTTTAATATGAATAATTTCTGGAAAATCATATAATGTTTGTTTAAGATATCTTAATGGATGCTTTTCAAAGTTGATGGATCACATTAACGACTGAAATCTGCAGAGGCCAACTTTCTTTGCGGCAGGAGCTGCTAAGCATGGTTCCAACATTAATTAAGGGGTTTTCTATCTTGTACCTATAGACACGTGATAGGAAATAAAAAATACAAAACTGAATCTTTTGTCAAGAAAGGATTTTCATTTTATGAAAAATACAAAAAGATAGATCTATGAACTTAAAAATTAAACTCTTATTATGGAAGTTCAACTGAGGAAGCTTTCTGAAAATAGATCTTAGTTAGAAATCCTGGATTTTTTGGAAAATTCAATGAATGCTTAGATAGCTTTTGCAAATTAAAAATTAATAGTCAGGTTATCTCTATAATGGGCTTGATTTTCTAAGAGAAATGCAATGCCATATCTTATGCAGCTACAAGATGCTGGGTGCTGGACTGATGCTGCAACCTTGGCCGCTAGGCACTTGAAGGGGTCAGATTATGGAAGGTTCTTACTTGTTCATAATAACATAATATTTGTTCACATTAACTTCAATATGGGACCAAGCATAACGTTGACTGACTGAATAACCTACAATCCACAGGCTAAATGACAAAATTATCAATAGATAAATTTTGCACTAGTATTTATGATATCATACATACATCTCTAAGTATTCTGTTGTCTAATTTCGGTAAAAATATGAATTCTCCCTCTAGGTTATTGATGACAGGCAAAAAAATTTCTAGAACCATTTTGAATTTTACAAAAAAATTAACTTTTACATTCCAGTGGCTGCTGACTCCCCCATTCATATTAAAAAAAGCATTTCAATTGAATATCATCATGACTAGAAGATCTTCCCTACGTTTTGTTATTCTTTCAGGGTGTTGCAAAGATGGGCCGGACACGTGCTGCACACTGAACATAATATCTGGAGGTACCAGCGCTTTTCTTTCTATAAATTTGACTTCTTGCTGGACTTTTCTGTTTTTGATCTCAAATGACCCGATGCAGGGCCCTAATTTTGTATGTTGCTGCTGGTGCACTGCAAGAGGCTTTGGCTGCTCTTCGTGAGGCTCAGCTGCCTGACACAGCTGCAATGTTTATCCTTGCATGTCGTGAAACACATGCAGAAATAGTTTCTAACCTTGGTATTCCTGCCGAAGAATCAAGTTCATCAGTCAAGGATGACCTACTGAACCTGCGCGCTTTAGATCCAGAGAATGAAGATGTCATTGCAGTTGATGAATATTTTGGACAATATCAAAGAAAATTGGTGCATCTATGCATGGATTCGCAGCCTTTCTCTGACTAAGTGTAGGAGGAGCTATCAAACTTGAGTGCTTTATGAAATGAATTCGATTTTCTCACTTATATTCATGGAAGAATTATTGGATTGATCAACTGTAGCCATGAAAAGAAGTATTGGGCTGATTCCCATTCCAGTACCACCTGGAGCCTGCATTTTGTGTCAAAGGATGGATATTATTGCCTATNTTACATTCCAGTGGCTGCTGACTCCCCCATTCATATTAAAAAAAGCATTTCAATTGAATATCATCATGACTAGAAGATCTTCCCTACGTTTTGTTATTCTTTCAGGGTGTTGCAAAGATGGGCCGGACACGTGCTGCACACTGAACATAATATCTGGAGGTACCAGCGCTTTTCTTTCTATAAATTTGACTTCTTGCTGGACTTTTCTGTTTTTGATCTCAAATGACCCGATGCAGGGCCCTAATTTTGTATGTTGCTGCTGGTGCACTGCAAGAGGCTTTGGCTGCTCTTCGTGAGGCTCAGCTGCCTGACACAGCTGCAATGTTTATCCTTGCATGTCGTGAAACACATGCAGAAATAGTTTCTAACCTTGGTATTCCTGCCTAAGAATCAAGTTCATCAGTCAAGGATGACCTACTGAACCTGCGCGCTTTAGATCCAGAGAATGAAGATGTCATTGCAGTTGATGAATATTTTGGACAATATCAAAGAAAATTGGTGCATCTATGCATGGATTCGCAGCCTTTCTCTGACTAAGTGTAGGAGGAGCTATCAAACTTGAGTGCTTTATGAAATGAATTCGATTTTCTCACTTATATTCATGGAAGAATTATTGGATTGATCAACTGTAGCCATGAAAAGAAGTATTGGGCTGATTCCCATTCCAGTACCACCTGGAGCCTGCATTTTGTGTCAAAGGATGGATATTATTGCCTATTATGTTGTAAAAAGTGTGTATAATTGCGAGAGGGATGGCATAGAGCGACAAGGAGTCTTGGAGGGAGGCGGATACCAGAGTCCCCTACGAAACACATTGCTATTAATTGCAGTTAAAATGATTTACCTGAACTTTTTACTTAAAAGTTGGAATTACACGGGGTAATTGGCCCCTTTTAGCTCTTACATATAAAATTTTGTAGGCAACAAATCATTAAATTGTATTTGTATTTGATTAATAGGAGACTCAAAGGGTTGCATCTGTATCTGCATGCAACGTGAAAATAGTATGTTAATTCTATTGTGTTGATTAATTGTTATACTCAATTTTCTACTGTGTTTGATGAGTTTACGTGCTTCTCTCTTTTATTTTGCTTACCGACGCTGATATGCTACCAATGTTATGTTGCCTTTTGACAACAAAAGAAGTATATTATACTAATAAAGGATAAAGTATATATACGCTATTGCAAGAGGAGAGTTTTAGTTTGTTTAATTTAACAAGATTTTGTATAAATATGATAGGTTTACCGATTTGAAAAATCCAAAAGAAGCTGAGCTTGCATGATTATTTTTTTCTTCAGTTCAAACAGAAAGTCACGCATAAAAGAATCTCATATTTATTAGCATTAGTGGTTTTTATCACAAGTTATTTACAGAACTCTTCTGTTTTGTGCTCAGATTTACTACGCTGAAATAAGTTAAGAAAAAGTTAGAAAATAAAAGCATTAAAGAATGTAAAACACGCAAAACGAAATAGAATTGTAATCGTGTTATGCGAGGAGAAAATGATTATATCAATATATCCTCTACTTAATTATTATTTTTATTTGTACAATTATTTATAATATAATTATAATTATTTTAATAACTGTGTTATTAATATATTATTATATTACAATAAAATGAATAATTAAATAAAACTATTAAAATAATTAATAAAACAAAATAAATAAATTAATATTTTTGTTAATATATTTTATATTATACAAATAAATAATTAAAATAAAATCTTGAAGTAATAAATAAAGAATTTAAATTTTAATATTTCGTAAAGAAATATATTTTAAAATATAAATTTTAATTTATTACGATTTAGTATTAATTTAAAATTTATTTTAGCTCTACTTTATATTTTAAACCTATTTTTGTATCATATTATTTTTTAAAAAATTATATTTTAAATACATACAGAATTTATTCTATTCAAACATTCCCATTTACTTCAACTTTTTACTTATTTATCATTATCTTTCACTTCTGCATCCTCTTCGCTTCCTTTCTTTTTGTGCTATGCTTTTATGCCCAGTACCCATCAAAGGGTTTTAATCTAAACACATAACTGAAAAAGAACATAAAATATCATATTCTTACCTCAGGAAGTCCATCATCCATTAGAGAGAACAATTATCGAAGTTAGGTCCTGGGAATAAGATAAAACAGACAGGTCTGTTTGAGTTTCAGAGAGCAAAAACATAATAAAACCACAATTCAGCTCCTCCCACCAAACAGACAGTCAAATAAAAAAAATCACTGCGAAGAAACGTGTTTAGGTAGTGTGACATTGTCACACATTATATATGCTACGAGAATAAATTACACTTTATATTTGATACCAGAGCGTCAAAATCATCTTAGTGGCCATGTCAAAATTACATGGCAGGTAGAGAAGGAGTTATGGATTTAAATATTTGATTATACAACATATTTTTTATAACATGGCGAGCGAGTATGTAACTCTTCCAATAGTTTTTCAACATATATGTTATCCCAAACGCAAAGATAGAAAAATAGATTTCGATCGCACAAAACATCCCTCCCTCACTTGAATTCAATAAAAGGGTGCTTGGTAATAATAGCCTCCAGGTTGCCCAATCCCACCAAATTGTGGCATTCCATAAGGCATCACAGGTTGTGGTGCAGTGACATAGTAACCAGGAGGAGCACCACCAACTCTAGTCAAACCCACTTGCCCTTGCATCCCATCCATCCCATATTGCTTCCACACCTGTTGCTCCTGCACAAGCAACTGCTGCTTCCTCTCCATGTCTGCGATTTGCACGTATGAAGGTGGCGGCACCGACAACGATGCTGCAAACGGATCCTGCGCTCCCACAGCTTTAACTGTTCCATCCGGAGCAGGCAATGCCAGAATTGGAGTGCCCCTCTTCCCAAGTCCAGGCAGTGCCACACTACTAGCACTGCCGCCACTTAGCTCACTTGTGCTAAGGTGTTGCCTCACAGCCCCTTGATCATACATCCCGTTCAGTAACAACGGATCAAATCCCCCTGCCAGTTCAGCCTTCTGCTTTGACAACTTACTTCTATTCTCCACCAATGCCACTTCCCAATCTGCTTTACCAACTTCACCAGCTGCTGTTTCCCATGCAGATTTCACTTCTGATTCCTCATTTGAAGGAAACGCCTCCCAGGAACCTTCCCCCCTCACTGTTCCAGGCCCAGAGAACAATGCCAAAGCCATCTTATTCCCTTGCTCGTCAGCTGAAACCCCATCATCCCTGAGATCCACCAGATCACTTGTCTCCTTTTCAGAACCAACCACCTTATTCGGCTGTGCAACTGAAGGTGCTTCTGGAGCTCTGAAACTCTCACTTTCCGGTGCTGGAAGAGCCTTCACCTCGTTCATATCTGCCTCGGGCTCTGACTCATATACAGTTATTACCTTCATCTCTAATTTCCTCTCCGGGCTCTTTGACCTGTTACTCATCTCCTTCAAGAAACCCTCCAGCGTCCCCAGAAGCTTGTCAGTGATCCTCTGCACTTCAGGGTACTCAGAAGACCTTGCGATCCCCATATCCTTACACCAACTATAGAACCCCACCAACTCATCCATCATCTTGGCAGCACCCACATAAGAATCAAACGCCTTCACACAATGCACGTACTCCATCTCCGTGAATCGATCCAACAACACCCCCAAAACATCACAAACCTCAATATACAACTTAAAACTATCCCTCACAACCTGGTAAAGCGCAACCAGCACCAACCTATTGTTCTTGGCAGCACCAATGGGCCTACAGCCCAAGACACGATCAAGCATCCTCAGCAAATGCTTCAACCTTTCCAAAACCCTCTCAGCTCTCATTTCCCTCACAGGAGTAACCTCACTCCTCTTATTACTCTCGTCCTCTCTTTCTTCCCTAAACTCCTCAGATTCAACACCGCCTCTGAGCTTCCTCCGATACGCCACAAACTCAACCTTCTCATCAAGATACAACGCGTAAAGCCTCACGAACCCCGCGTGATCCCAAGAACTAGAATGCGCCTCGTCTCTGAAATCAGACATGTTGAGAATCCTGGTCCCTCGGCCCGTGGCATGCACGATCTCCTCCTCAAACGCGGGATGGCCATCCACCAGGAGTCTATGAACAAGCATAAGAGCCTTAACAGCCACAATCCAATCACGAGTCTTTGTAAGCCTCTTGGAAATGGTGATCAGAGAAGCACTGATGTAGCCTCTGGAATGCGATGTCAAAGTGAGGATTTCTCTGATGTATTTGTCATCAGCAGGAACCTCTTCATGGCTTGTGGCTTTGACGATCAAGACTTCGAGGTCAGGGGCCAAATTACCTGCGACTTTGGCTATGCTGATGCTGGTTTGGTCCTTCACCACACCAATCGCCTTGCGGATTGTGCTCGATGCCATAATGGGTGCTTGATTCGCTTTGCGGAAGCGAAATTCAGATCAAATTTCAGATTTTTATTTTTGTGGGATTGGTCTTTAGGTTACCTGAGAGTGATGGAGACAGAGGGTGGAACAGTCTGCGAAGGGGACGGAGGATTTGTTGTCTTGTGTTAGTGGATGAAGTGGTGCGTTGTGTTTCTTTGTGTGCAGTGTGATCAAATCAATGCAGCGTGCGTATGTTTGTTTAACTTGTGACCTGTGAATTGTAACAGAAACAAAGTGAAAGAGAAAGAGAAGAGAAAGAGAAAGAGAAGAGAAAGGGAAGAGAGAAGCCCAGGACAAAGCGGAGATTGCGAAACCGCGTAATAAATGGGGGAAAGGATTTTGATTGTCTACGTTTTTTTATTATTTTCACTTTATTTAAAATTAAAGTGACCAATTACTTTATCAACCACTTAAATGATCTGGTGTTATTCATATAATAAATAATTTAATTAAACCATTATTTAATATTGTGTGAGTCTCTATGTTTTGTATTAATAAATAATTAGGAGTAAATTTTTCATAACTAATGAAAATATGGTATATTGATAATATTTTATAAAAAATAGTGTTACGTGTTATTAT